AATAATAATAATAATAATAATAATAATAATAATAATAATAATAATAATAATACTCTATAGATTGATAAAAATGCCAAATCTTATCTGAACATCTGGCTGACTGTGGGACGAGCCAGCATGAGCAAGCAGATATTTATATTTTGTAAAGGTACCACATTTCAAGCAGAGTGGGTCTCATAAAAAGGAAAAGAAATAACAGGATATTTTAAGACATGTATGCAATACTTCTCTCTCTCCCTACTTCATATTTAGGACAGCTTTTCAATTTTGAGAAATACTTCACATAAAGTCTAATGGATTTTACCAAAATTTTGCTCACCAGGAGCAATAATTGCGTTATGAGTAATTTTACATTATCTGAGTTTGAGCCTAAGTATTAATTTTCCATAGGATTCATAGTTTGAGTGTGATCACTTGACAGACTTGTCCGTAATTAACCCAACTGTAGTTTCATTTGATAGCACACTGAATCACATAAACAGATATGTTGGTTTCTATATTACATTAAAATGAGCTTAGTTTGTCAGTCGTTGTGTTACACAGAACCAATAAATGACAAGCTTCTAAGTTGGGGCATTATGGGAAATTAAAATGACAACATGCCAAATTCATTTTTCAATCCACTCATAAACATGTGAACTGATGGACCAAAACAGGTACAGCTGAATATAACTTCTGCTCTAAGCTGTGTTTCTTTAAGCCACTTGCTTGATACATAGCAGGAACACAGCACTTAGAAATAGGTCCTGAGTGTGCTATTTCTTTGTTCTTTTCTCTTCCTTGTACTTGTACTGAAGTAGTTTTTATGGACTCTCAGCTTAAAGCTCCTGGATTTCCACATTGTGTGTGCTTCCTTCACAGTTAATGCTACTTCTTTTCCATTTTCCTTCTCACCTACCGCTTTCAAATAAATTATATTTGAAGTCTATGTGAGGTTCAATTCTTGCATTCCACTTACCAGTTTCACCCCAACAGATTTTAGTAATGGCTACTCATCATATTAGACTTCCTTCATTAAGACTTCTAGGTCTTGGTTGTTTCCTATAGTCAGTGCATTTGAATAGACTCACTTGAATCCCTGAGAAACATAACATAATCTGTTCTTCCCTGTATTTATGTGCTCATTAGCGGGTGCATTTGCTTTACTTTATTAACAATGTTCATTTGATATACCAATTATCAATACTTGATTGAAAATATCAGTAATTTAATTTGATGAAATATTCTGGAAATTAGTTCAAGTTAACAGGGACAGGTTGATGCTGTATGTGCCTTTGCATGAGGTTTTGGTATTGGTCATATTAGAAGTATGAAGCAACCTCTACAGAGAGATTCACATCAGTGGTGGGATTTAAAACTTTTTACTACCATTTCTGTGGGCGTGGTATGGCTTGGGCATGGCTTGATGGGTATCTTCATTCCCACCCCACTTCAGGGGAAGGATACTGTAAAATCCTCATTCTCTCCCCACCTCACTAACCTGCTTTCCAGCTCCATTCTCCTGTACAGGGCAACAAAAGAAGACCCAGACGATCAGCTGGGACTCGGGAGGCAGAGAATAGATGGGAGTGGGGCCAGTCAGAAGGGGTATTCTGAACTACTCAAAATTTCCACTACCGGTTCTCCGAACTATTATGATCGTCATAATGCCAGTATCAAGTCCATATCTCTCCAGGCCAGTTAAAGTGGTACCTTGGTAAACAACTGCTTTGGAACTCATTAAATTTGGTGCTCAGGGCATTTTGAAATGAAAATTTTGTCCTGGTACTTATTGTTCATTTGGTACTCAAAGCACAAGTCAGAACTTGTCAGCATTGGTTACCATGTGACTCATTATATTATTGCTTATGGGAAAATTTTGATTGGTACTCATTGTTTTTTGTACTCAACCCACCTCCTGGAACCAATTAACGATAAGTACCAAGGTACCACTGTATTCACTTTTAATTCTAGGTTTGCTTCTACTATCATTGTTACTTTGCTATCAGTTTTTTCTGGTATCCAGTCTTCATTTTATATTATTCTTAATGAAGGCAAATATACGTATCCCAGGATATTGGATCCTGCTATATTATTTTTATATTGATTTTACTGTTTTAATGCTTTAGACTAAATTATTACATAATTTTAATTGGGCAGTATATATATATACACACTAAGAAAGAATAAACATTTAGCATGACACATCGTATGTTACATCAAACTTGCATTCAGATATTTTGGTGCTCATAAATATTCTCATGAACTTTTCTACGGTCTTGTTTATTTTAAAATGGATGATTTGTGTTCTTTTCATAAAACATCCCATCCAAAATCAATAAAAGTTTTCAATGGCAATTTTTATAAATATCTTCAAAGTTACTTCTGCAGAATCCATTACTTTCATTCTCTACACTGAAATTATAAACTGTAAGTAAAATACAAATACTCCTTCAAAAGTATGTATGAATTCCTATCTCTTTAACTTCACCACTGCAAGGATGAATTGAGTTATATCAGATATTACCGGTACCTTAATGATGACATGAAAACAAAGCCATTATACTTAATTCAGCTCTCCAATCTGGCACTTTCCAGTTGTATCGAACTATAAAACCTATAAATCTCAGCCACTATAACTATGGTAGTTGTAGCAGGTATATGCATTTTTTTCAATCTGGTACATTTCATTTGTGATGAAATTCAACTCCAGTAATCCCAACTGTGAACAATGTTGATGAAATCTGACACACTGGGTTACAATCTTATTGCTGTGCTAGGCATATATTTTAAGACATGTATTCTGTAAAGAGAGGAAAATATGTTAACTGAATAGCATGTTATTACATACTGCCACATCAAGGCTGTTAAAAAGAGATCAAAACACTACTTGTTATAACAGCTATGGAAAAATGCATTAGCTGTCTTACACACCTAATTCTATTTATGGAATTAAGAAAGACATTCAAAGTGTGTGTGTGCGCGTGTGTGCATATGCATATGCCAACCAGAAGTTTGTGTGCATATGCCAATCACAAGTTTACTGATCAGTATCTCTTTTAATTTTCTAAGAATTGTTCAACAAAGCAAACAAAAACAATTAAAAAAGATCAATGTATTTAAATATGCCTCCCAAATGCCATCAAAGTATATTTGAACTGCCTGAACTTCCTGATTTTCCCATGCTTGACATTAGGATAAATACTTGTCCATCATCCAACAAAAGTTAAAATAAAATAAAATTAAACATAATAATAATTAAAAAAATTAATTAAAAAGAAAACAAAAAGCAAAACAAGCAAGACAACAAAAACCCTCAAAGGACAGACTGGATGGACCACTGCTATCAATTTTTTCTGTTTCTATTCTAACCAGATTTATAAATTAGGAAAATATCACAATCTTAATTAGGTACCAAAAGTATTTGTAAAGTTGTGTGAATTTGGCAGTCAATCCATTTACTTTTTTAAAAAAAATAGAATATGGTTAAGTAGAAATACATAGTTTGACCTCAAGTATACTAATTTAAAGACCAACCCTATAATACAATACCCATAGTTTACACAAATATTTTAACCGTTTCTTGGTATTAACCAAGGGCCCCTCAAGAGAATCTTATAACATCAGCCATAAGATAGAAAAAAATTTGGTTTTAGAGTATCTAACATTATTTTCCATTTCTTGTTTTTATTACTATATTATTTATAATTAATTATTCCTGCCTTCTGGTCTGCTATAGCTGCCCAGAGTTGCTGTACTAGTTAGATAGGTGGCATAGAAATTTAATAAATAAAAAAATTATATCTATCTGAATAAAGTGAAACATTTCACCGTGTGATGATCCTAGTATCTTGGAAAAATATTTTTTAATACTCTGATATATTTTTACATGTATATATCTTTTGTTATAGTACTAGTCACAACCATGATCAATATAGTATTGCTAAGAAAATGAACATCTGTAAATGTGACCTTTATGTTTTATTATTCTTTCAGTCTCTCCTTTATTTGTATTTTGCAGCAAAATTCAGGAAAGCTTATATGATGCAATAAAACTGATTTTTTTTTACTGTGTCCTAAGACTTTTTAAAAAGTTTTTGTTGCCACTGTTGTTATTCTGAAGATATTACATCAAATTGTTTTTCTGGATTTTTAAAAAATGAGTAAAAGTATTTATTTTGTCATTAGGTATTTATGTATAATTTCATTTGCTGCAAATGAGCATAATATATCATGATTCTTAAATTACATAAAATATATTAATCATTGGATGACTTATTTTTAAAGCACAACATATGTTTCCATAGCACAGACATCCCGTGAACGGCTGGAAGATTCTTGATATATAATTCAAAACTAATATAGATGTCCAATATTGAATTATATCTGGAAATGATAAAAATGGATTTGCATTCCAGTGTTAATGCATACATTAAGATAATAATGGGAGATTCATACATAGTTGGAATGAGTATCTACTATTAAGATAATGTACATTTCCTATTTTAGTTATATAAGAAAACATTAAATGATAGCTACCTCAGGCAACAGATTTTGAGCACCATTAAAAGGCAATACATTGCAGTTAAGTTGTCATTATTATTCTGTTAATGTACTTGCTTCTTTGTGCACAAAATGTTGATTAATGGCAGACCTGGATATCTGGTCTTCCTGTTGAATGTAGGGTTTGAACAGACAAAATATTTTTAGAGGGACAAATGTACTAATTTACATTACTAAAGCATATAAGAGAGAATGGTATACAAAGGTATAATAGTATTTAAAAATTCTGATGACCATTTTGGCTTTCGATAACATGGTAAACTAAAAATGTGATTAAAGAGCTGGGTGTATTAGGGGTTAAAATGACAAAGCAGTCTTATTAATATGCTCTGCAGCTTTGTGATTTGTGCAAACACTGCTTTTTACTATTGTATGTACATTTGTTGTTAGGATTGAAAAGCTTGTTAGTAACTTTGGTTCCCTTTGTCCTCAAACATTACTGATTATTAATATACTGCATTTCACTTTCAATTGCCAGTCAGCAGCTACACATTGCTGATTCATTCTGCCTCGTTATAGTACATACCAGCAGAAATAGGATTGCAGTTCTTGAGAGAACATGTCTCAGATGGAAGCATGCAGAATTTAAGGTCTCTACAGGCATTCATCCTAAACTCATGAGGCTTAAATGCAAGGTGTGTTCAAGCTTCATACCCAGTATCTTTTCACATCCATGTCCTCTAGAAAACACTACTAAATTTCGCAGGGGAGATACTTCACACATTTTCTTCTGGGTAGCAACTGTGATAAGGCAGAATTCCTGGTCACTTAAAGACTTGCAAACAATTAGCTAATGGAAATGAGTATACCACCATTTTATCTCAAATTCCACATGGCTTTTTAACCAGCTTTTTTGAAACTAAGTATCCTGCTTTGATTTGGGCTAGCCTCCATTTCTGGTTAAGACAAAACAGAATTTTAAATGAAACTTTACTGATTTTCAGTTCTGGTTTGTGTTATCAAAACAAACAAAAACAGATTTATACAATCTCAGATAATATAAATACTCTAAGTCCATGAGTTCCAATCTTTGCCCAACCAGACCTGATGCTAGCTATCATCAAGATTCAGTTTAAACATAATCTGGATTATTTCATTTTTAGTCTATTTGATCATTGCTCTTCCATTACATTTTTTAAAAATATACTTTAATAAAATTGTAGGGCAAGAACTTTAGACAATGTCCAACCTGCTTACAATTTAAATTAATAATTCTAGCATAGGTTTGTTTAGTAAAAAGCAACCTAAAACATTACCATTGGTGCATTTGGGAAAAGCAAGTGGACCCACTGCAGAGCATTTAAAATATGAGCACAAATGGAAGCAGTCAACCAGAGGTAATATCATGGAGAATTTAAAGAGTAAGACAGGCAAGTGAATAGGTTTGCTAATTTTAGCTACTTTCTTCAAATATAGATTATGTGTAATGTTTTACACATTACAGCTACAACTCTCAATAAAGATTCCATAGGAATTCATCTCACTGGGTGTGTTTGTACCAAATACTAAACCAAATTTAATCATGGTTTACTGCATTAACCCATTTGCCAAGGTGTACCAAATACATTGAAGCATGAACTAACCACAGTACTACTGTTGTTGTCCCCAAATTCTCAAGCATTGCAGGAAAGGCATGCAGAAAAGTCTTAAATATTTGTTGTCATCTAATGGTTATCCAGAGTTCTACAGCTATGATCTGATAAAACCTAAACTTAACTAACTTGATTTGGCAAGCACAGTGACCTATAAACCAAGTACATTTTAACTATGTATATCACATGAACCCAGCTATCTGATTGGATTCAGATTCTGATACACATAAACCTCTTGTGGCTGATCTCAATTTCTCCATGGTTCTTTGATTTTATTCTTGCAGGCAATTCAGTATGCAATGTAAGAGGGAATAAGAATACAATTCGGTTCTGAGCTACATATGTTTTTCCCAATGATGGGATTCAATTTTTTTTTACTACCGGTTCTGTGGGCGTGGCTTGGTGGGTGTAGCATGGCTTGGAGGGAATGGCAGGGGAAGGTTACTGTAAAATCCATATTTCCTCCCCACTCCTGGGGGAAGGTTACTGCAAAATCCCATTCCTTCCCCACCCCACTAACCTGCTTTCCAGCTCCGTTCTCCTGTGCAGGGCAACAAATGAAGACCCAGGCAGAGAATAGATCGGGGTGGGGCCAGTCAGAGGTGGTATTTGCTGGTTCTCTGAACTACTCAAAATTTCCGCTGCCGGTTCTCCAGAACTGGTCAGAACCTGCTGAATACCACCTCTGATTTTTCCATTCTCTACAACAAGGGTCTTCAAACTTGGCAAGTTTAAGACTTGTGGACTTCAACTCCCAGAATTCCCAAGCTAACATGACTGGAGGAGGAATTATGGGAATTGAAGTCCACAAGTCTTAAAGCTGTCAAGTTTGAAGACCCCTGCAGTATGCAATATCTCACAGCAATAACTTAATATGCCTTCTTCAATACTACAGAGAGTAACGGGATCCATTTGAAAGGTTTAGCTGGAGTGTAGATCAGAAAAGGATCCCCCTCATTGGACATAAACAACATTGTGGATAAAGCTGTACTCATGATGGAACCATCTCATGGGAGGTGTCCCTTTTTTACAGCACTACAGTCTAATTTAGTAAAAATCCTTTTGGATCTTCTTTATAGATTTTAGAGAGACTTGGAAGCACTGCTTGGGATGAACAAACCAGAAAGATAAGTGCTTTACAAACATTCTTTTCTCTTAAAGGAATGGCTGGTTCTCTCTCAACAGAAACTAGAATTTGAAGTTCAATGCTTCTTGAAAGCTCCAGATTACAGAAGGCTGACTTAATAGTTTGACAATGGACAGTGCTTTATAGCATTCCCTTTAATTTATTATAACAACAGCAATATGTAAACAGTTTAAGTCTTCAGTTCCTTCAATTCCTATTGGACTTATATCATTGTGAATGTCCAGCACTCATCAAAACCATGTTAAAGTTTTTATAGCCTTGTCCAAATAAAGACACATTATTTTCCTTTTAACGTAATTATACTTCTTTGATTTTTCTGCATAATGCAAGATATGGCATACAATATTTTGGATAGAGGATCTAAATTTACTGTAGTTGATATAAGTATAGGCTAAATAAACTTGCCTATTCTGATCAATACATAATGTTTCATATGTACAGCTATAGATGATATTTTAGTAGCAAAGGAAACATCTAATTGAGAAGTGCAGTGTTTGTTCAACAAACTTCTTTTCAACACTGGATTTTCCTTTTGTATTATAGAACTGAATGGGCAAAAAGTCATCTATCATCTTCCTGTCTACCATAGTAATAGCACTTAGACGTATATAACTCACAGTGCTTTACAGCCCTCTCTAAGCAGTTTACAGAGTCAGCATATTGCCCCAACATTCTCGGTCCTCATTTTACCAACGTTGGAAGGATGGAAGGATGAGCCCGTCAGGATCGAACTCCAGGCTGTAGGCAGAATTATTCTGCAATATTGGATTCTAACCACTGAGCCACCAGTGCCATGTATTTCTTGACCACTGTGGGGAAATGCACTTTATTTGGACATAATGTGTTTGGGGAAATAATAAATTTCCTTTAGATCCTTAATTCATATTTAACATTTGTACTGTATATTGAGATTGTATACTGAGGTTTTATCTTTTGATTGATATTCTGGTCTCCTTTATGCTTATCTGTCCTTTGAAGCGTCTTAGATGAAGGAGGGAAAGCTATATTCTGTCTCCTACCAAGTCAAATTGATCATGAAGGACAAATAGATCATGAATAATTAAAGTTGTATTTAAGAATATCATTATATGTACAGATAATATAGGTTATAAACTTTTTTAAAGGAGTACTTAAAATTTTTAACAAAATTCCTTATTCATAATTAAATATGGAATAACCACTCAGTTCATCAAAGGGATATTTTTAAAGGCATACTATTTTTTCCTTTTTTATCTGTTTTACTGTGCCTAATTATCACTTGTTTCTTTTCTTGCTGCTGTTGTATTGTCATTAATTATCACACAATGCAATTAATTACTGTATTACCATAATTAACACTAATTATTTATCTGATAGGGAAGACGTCAGTTAGCTTTTTTCATCTCACTCCAACAGAAAATATTTTCATCATAAACACATTAATAAGACAAATATATGGTTAGTGTTATTTAGATTTAAATTATATGTCTTTTTCTTTCAGTGTTGCAATTGTGTCTTTTTTCATTAATATTTTATATGACTTAGATGTCTAACAATTATATATGAATATATATACTTATACAACAGTTAAAAAGCAAGAATTAGTTTTATCTATCTATCTATCTATCTATCTATCTATCTATCTATCTATCTATCTAATATGTATAGCCATGCATCTCACAGAAAGCACTCCAGGCCTTTTATCAAAACAATCAATACAGTCACTTCATTGGTTTTACCACACTCCTTTTGGCCATTGGCAAAACTTGTCATCAGGGCTTTACAAAAAGCCAGCAAGTTTGGCCCAATTTGTTCTTCTGATGATGTTCCACAGACTGGGTGCCATTGGCGAAAATTCTTCTCTTCCATGGATGACTTTATAGGTCATTACCAGCACAATATTAGCAGGAAGAATTAGGCAACCTCATAATTTAAATATATGACATACATGTGCAAGTATATGTGGATATAGATATAGATGGTGATGGACATACCGTACTTTATTTATATCCTAAATGAAAGCAGGATGGTCAGAACAGTTTAAGCAAAATCTTTGTACTTTATTATTGAAAAAAAGTGAAGAAATCTAAATATGAATGAAAGTCACAGAATGCTTGCAGCATAGTGTAGGAGTATGTTGAGAATGACCTTGGGAGATATGGGGAAAACACACAGCCAGGGAAACGGTCAGAAGAGAAACAGCTTAACTTGTAGAAGGAATGTGGGTATGGCAAGCATGTCAGAAGAGACCCTCCCTAGTTTCTTGGACTGCAAAGACCACATAGAAGAAATGTGTTTTATTTGCAATTGAAACTTATAATAAAGTAGAATGAGTTCAGAGGTGGTATTCAGCAGGTTCTGACCAGTTCTGGAGAACCGGTAATGGAAATTTTGAACAGTTCAGAGAACCAGCAAATACCACCTCTGACTAGAGATTTTACAGTATTCTTCCCCTGCCACGCCCACCAAGCCATGCCCACAGAACCAGCAGTAACAAAAATTTGAATCCCACCACTGAATTAGTTCCTCTGAGCATGCTTCCTGTCTGGACTAGCTCACAAAGATGACAGATAGCCCTTTTAGGTTATATTATCATATAGCTTTAAGCATTAAAAACCCCTTTGAAGTACTATCCTGATATCCTTAAAACTAACTTATAAATTAGGCCAGAATGGGAAGAATGAGAAGTGAAGTCAAAATCTACTTTTGACATAGTATTTCCAAGAGGAAAATATTCTTGGGAAAAATATGAAAAATCTCCTCACTGAGTTCCTGATTCTAGCAGGCAAATCATAAACAGATAAAAAGGAGCAAAGAGTAATTTGAAATAATGCAGGGGGAGGGAAGGAAGAGGATTAAGCTGTTAACTACAATGGGGATTTCTTGTATGGTCTTTGTCCTCTGATTCATTTCTTATTTTAAGGTGGGGTTGGGTAGGAATAATACGTATTTAGGTGACAAAACTATTATAAAGATAAAAGTCCATTAATCACTGAGATGCTGGATTGAGAGTTTCTGTTACCGTATTTATCGGCGTATAACACGCACTTTTTCCCCCCTGAAAATAGGGGGCAAATGATGTATGCGTGTTATACGCCGATATAATGTTAAGAAGCCTTCGGTGAATGCTGCTGGGATCGGGGATCAAGGACACAAATGAAAGAAGGGGAGGGAGGAAGCAACCGAAGCCTGTCCTTCTCTCTGGGTCAGCTCTCTCAGTCGCTCTCTCGCTCCTCCACCAGCACAGGAAGAAACTGCTTCAAAGAAGGGGGGGGGCTTTTCCTGTCGCCGCAGCTTCCCTGAAGTGCCCGTTTCTCCCCCACCCCCACCCCGTCCGCCTGCCCGCAGTGCTCCGTTCTGCCTGCCTGCCTGCCTTCGTTAATGGTTGAATCGGAACAGCTTCGGCTGAGTAAAAGAGGCGAATAGTTATTATTCTCAGCCGAAGCTGCTCCCAAACAACCAGAAACTAAGGCAGGCAGGCAGAATTTTTTTTAATTTTTTTTCCTGAAATTTCCCTCTTAAAATGAAGATGCGTGTTATACGCCTGTGCGTGTTATACGCCGATAAATACGGTAGCTATTTAGCCGGAAACCATATCTGAAGTGAAAATTTATGATATTGTCTGGTTAAACATTCAAACAGAAACTTCTACAAATAGAAGTAATGTAAAATGCTACATTCTGTGATATTTTTCTGAATTGATAAATTATAGCAAAAATGAAGTCACAAGAGTACGATTGTTAATTTCATTCTCAAAAAACCATGGTACTTTTCCTGCATTCTAATTTTGGTGCTTATTCAAAGATCAGTCTAATATCTTTCTGGAAGTCTTCATAACTTTAAAGTACCGATTGTATCCATTTATAGTATTGCTTCAATTATGCCACTCTGATCTCATAAAAGAAATGCCTTTAGAAAAATAAATTCAATTTGCTTCAGTACAGACTAATAGAAAAGTTTGATCTTGAAAAAATTGAGAAAAAATACACTGCTCAAAAAAATAAAGGGAACACAAAAATAAGACATTCTAGATCTGAATGAATGAAATATTCTTATTAAATACTTTGTTCATTACATAGTTGAATGTGCTGATAACAAAATCACACAAAATTTATCAATGGAAATCAAATTTAGCAACCCATGGAGGTCTGGATTTGGAGTTACACTCAAAACTAAAGTGGAAAAAAACACTACAGGCTGATCCAATTTTGATGTAATGTCCTTAAAACAAGTCAAAATGAGGCTCAGTAGTGTGTGTGGCCTCCACGTGCCTGTATGACCTCCCTACAATGCCTGGGCATGCTCCTGATGAGGTGGCGGATGGTCTCCTGAGGGATCTCCTCCCACACCTGAACTAAAGCATCCCCCAACTCCTGGACAGTCTGAGGTGCAACGTGGCATTGGTGGATGGAGTGAGACATAATGTCCCAGATGTGCTGAATTGGATTCAGGTCTGGGGAACGGGCGGGCCAGTCCATAGCATCAATGCCTTCATCTTGCAGGAACTGCTGACACACTCCAGCCACATGAGGTCTAGCATTATCGTGCATTAGGAGGAACCCAGGGCCAACCTCACCAGCATATGGTCTCACAAGGGGTCTGAGGATCTCATCTCGGTACCTAAAGGCAGTCAGGTTACCTCTGGCTAGCACATGGAGGGCTGTGCGAACCCCTAAAGGAATGCCACCCCACGCCATTACTGACCCACTGCCAAACTGGTCATGCTGGAGGATGTTGCATGCAGAAGAACATTCTCCACGGCGTCTCCAGACCCTGTCATGTCTGTCACATGTGCTCAGTGTGAACCTACTTTCATCTGTAAAGAGCACAGGGCACCAGTGGCAAATTTGCCAATCTTGGTGTTCTCTGGCAAATGCCAAACGTCCTGCATGGTGTTGGGCTGTAAGCACAACCCCCACCTGTGTGGATGTCGGGCCCTCATACCACCCTCATGGAGTCTGTTTCTGACTGTTTGAGC